GTTGTGGACTCACAGTTTAAACCTGAATGGACTAAACTATTTTTTTATTTGGCTATTTGCCTATTTTAGAGAGACATCAAAACTCTCAATCAATGCAATTTAGACTGGATTTAAAATTGAGAGGAATAACAACCACTTGATTTAGTAATCTTACGAATTATCAGTTTGCTATTCAACAATCTGAATTAATGCTAAAAGTATATAATAAATTTAAGTCAAAACCTATTTATAGTATTTCTCTCAATCCAAATCCCCAAAAATCACATAGAATGGAACACCCATGAATGGAATTTGACACCAATTAAACTGGGATAAGAAGAGCTCTCCCTTTTTGGTTCTCCCCTACAAGAGACAAAATGAATATGATGCCTATTTTGCATGCAGCTGATATCTACCAGTCAGGGACTGGTAATTTCTTGCCAGCTCCTTGATATGAATCCTATCTAGCATGCCATATAATTAATTTGTTGATTTGTTTAATTTTAGAGCCTAGTTCATGAGCAGGTTATTTTCTCTGGTTTTAGCAGCTTTTACTCTACCTAGCAAATACAATGCAACTGGTTAAAATTGCTAAGACCTAGCTAATTTTATTATTCCAAAGCCCCAAATGAGCTTTTATTTCTTTCTTACTACAAGTTTCACAACATGCATCCTCCTTTCCAATACGCTTCAGAAAACACAAGACAGACAAACAGAAGTCAGGGCTGGCCTCAGAAGCACTCAGAGACCCTGCCTGGGACCTTAGGAGCTCCTCTGCTGTGCCAAGCTGCTGATGTGCAGTGGCTAGAGCGCACCAAGTCTGCAGCCTCCAGTTACCACGGTCCCAAGTGGTGACACACAACAACTGTAAGCAGTAGGGCCTGTGGCACCTGTGTTTCATCAAATGGTCAAGAGCACTGAACACTCTGGCAGAAACTGCCTTTCCAGGTGGGAAAGATGGGACTTGATAAGTACAGGAACCAGGTCTGAGGGCTAAGGGAAGAGTTGTAGGCATGAGGCTCCATGTGTGTTTTTTCTTGGGGCACTTGCAACCAGCATCCCATTCTAGCAGTCTGGCTACTGTCGGCCAACCCTAACGGTGGGAAAATTTCAAGAGTTTTAGCATAACGAAAGCTGTCACTTGTCATATCCCTTTTCCAGTATTGCTACAATTTTAAAAATGCAGTAAACAATGGAACAATAGTAACTTTGTAACTTTCATTTTCAAAAGCTGAGAAAAGTAACCTCTGGTTTGGTAGATGTACCAGCAAGAAGTTATTTTTTCTTATAGCCTTTAAACTTATCTGGAAGTACATACTTCTATGTACTTCTGGAAGTACGTGGTTTTTATCAAAAGCAGACAAAAGTAGGATAAAAAAAGTCCAGAGCTATCTACTGGAGTTGGAAGTATGTGTTGAAGGGCAAAACCCATGCTGTTACTTCATAAACACTGATCTATTCACTTTCTCAAATACAGATCCACAAAGACTACCTAAGGTTTTAAATAGTCCCCCCAGCATACATCATTGCCCACCAGCAATAAATGCTATGGTTCTTCACTTACTCATGTTTTCATAAAAATAAATACCTGTTTCAATTAAAAAGATTTTCCCTTCTTTTTGAAATTATTAAGTTTGAGTTAGAGGAATGAGTGTTTGCTTAGTTCTAAAAGCAGACCTAAATTCTTGAATGAGTTTAGATTTATGTAGAAATAATTACAGAAATGGTGTGTTTTCCTGCGAGAATACTTCATTCTTAAGCCCCAAGCAGCAAGTTTACTGTTAGTCCTACAACTGCATCCTCCAACCCAGAGATTCGAACTCCTGCTTTCTGTCACAAAGATTTCTGCTACTGAGGATACATCCATCCTTGGTAATCACATACAAAATAATTACAAAATAACCTTAAACATATGACCTGCAAGTATTAAAACTCTTTTCATCTCGGTCACTTATCCAAGACAGAAGGTTAGAAAAATCTTATACATTCTGGAAGTGAAAATATTGCTATCTATGAAATTCAAGTTTTAACTTTCCATTTCAACATCAGTAAAGCCAGGGATTATTTTATTAAACTATTTATATGTCAAGCTTTCTGAAAGATTAGTGAGCACTTACATAGTACTTAATGGACCATATACATAACCAAACAGAAATCTGCCATTGATGGTACCTACGTAAGTTTCTTTATCAGTGTAAGTACATGAAATTTTATTCCAATTCATACTGTTTCTTACCATCCCTATCATACTCACTGATCAAAGTTTGGTTCATACTCACTGACCAAAGTTTGGTTTAGCCTTTAAATATTTCAGAGTCTGGTCAAGTGTCCTCGGTACATAACATAACTTAAGTAGTACCTCAATCCTCCATGAATTCTTTGTGTATATTGAAAGGTACCTAAATTAAATTTTGGACAGAAATCTGAATAATAAATAACCAGATGGTTTAAAAGATTAAAGAAAAAAAATCAAGCTATTTCCCATTTAATAATGCTATCTGCAAAGCCAAGAACGAAAGCTAAGCTTCTTGTTTAGAATGGTTTTATTTAAATGTAGTGGGAGCTAACTATACATTGTTTAAGAAAATTTTGCTCTGGTTTACAGGAGGACCAGAGAATTATACAGTAAAATTGAGTATTTAGAGACAAGTAAATTAAAACAAAAACTTGTGGGTTTCAGGAGGGGTTTTTGAGAATAAAACTTATCAGTGAAGAGTTCCTAAGAGCTGGTGAAGCTTCCCCCCTCAAAAGTGGCACACAAAACAAACTGACTATCATTGAAGATTTTATATTATAAATAGTTAAGCTTCATGGTTCCTCTGAAACTGAGCAAAAAAAGCTGGAATTTAAATCTTAGTATAATTTTGAGGTAATCTTTAAAATATTAGATTCTAACTGTACTTTGGAATAGTTTTATAGTGTTATCAAATATTATATTAGAAACAGCCTTGGTCAAGTTGTTTTCCTGTACTGGAGCTGTATTTCACAATCAAAATTTGTGCCAACCTGATATGGGGGGAAAAAAGCACTCAACAGGAGTGAAAGTACACTATAAAAAGAAAAATTACATAATATTAAAAAAAGATATAAAAGGGTTCTGTCCTCTACAAGTCAACCAGCACCTTTAGTCCAATCTAGAAACAAGAAGCATTCATACAAGCGTCTTGGTAAAAGTTACAATATTTTTGTTCAATAAATCTATTTTAGAGGTTCTATGTGACTGCTTCTATAGCCTTGTTCTTCAGTTCTCTGCAAGTGTTAACGATCATTTATGATCTATCCAATAGCTTTCTCTACAACACTTCCCTTCTACTCCTCTGAACACTGTTTTATTTCAAAACATCTCTATAAAACTTATGGGGAAATAGCATAAGATGTCACAATAATTTAGTCATCCGATTGTACAGTCCTTTGAAATATTCTATAACACTTAGAATTAGACTAAGATCTACACCATTAAAAACTAAGTAACAAGAACTAGCCATGAAAAGTCAGTTTACAGCTGCTCAAAAACAAACCAGCCCCCAACCTAAGGTAAGTTTTAAAATAATTATCTGATGCAGAGTCAGTAATCTAACCAATGTGTTATCAGAAAGCAGTGACACCACTTGCTATATTGCATACAAACCCATGGGCTTTTAAGGAGTTGAAGATTTTTGACAGAATTAAAAACATTTTTTATCACTAATCTTACTGTTCTATCATGGATGAATAATAAATATTAATATGATCCTTCTGTTTTCATAGCGGGTACTAGTTCTACTAGTCCATACTCTTTATCAAATACTCTTGAATATGAGGATGTGTAGTAGTCTAAATAGAGCATCCCATTGCAGGTTGTGGGCTTTTCTTTTTCCCTTTCCCTTTTAAACCTTCTGGTTTGCACCACTAGGAAGCCATTCAAAAATAATTCACCACTTAAGTAAGAAGTGCAATGAGTGCCAGCCAGATATGTTTCATGTAATACAACTCCCAGTTGCATCAAAATTTCTAGATTAACAGTGTACTAGAGAAAAAAAATTCTGCTAGGGAAACAAATTAACTTTAGTACATGTATAAGAAATGGCTGATTGACAGCTTCCCCATCATCAGAAGCTAAAGCTCTATCAGTTACTGAAGACAGCAATAAAAACAGCTGAATTGGCAGCTAGAAGCACTGGATAACAGGATCAGTTATATTAGTTCTCTGATAGTAAACTACAAAGCTGAAGTTTGAGAGGCAGAAAAGTCCAAGTATTTTGCTTTTAATAAACCTGGAAAATGGTCAATAAAATATACCCTAAAAATGCATATTTTAACAAACATACCTCAATTTAAAGGAACAAAAATTAGAAGTTTTACCCATTTTCTGTTATTTACTCCTTCCATTATTCCTCTGAAATGTGCAAGTATCATTGGCAATGTATGCAGCTGAGTACCAAAATAAAGAATTCTCTTTGGAATAGTACAGAATACTTTTCAAATGTCTTTTTTCATGGTTAAAGTATTTTAAACCTTAGGTTGAGAACAAGGAACTAAAATTTTAACTGGCTCAACTAACAGTTCTGATTAGAGCCTTCTTTTAATCACAGACAACATCAAAATTAATTTCGTGTTTCTCCCCAACACAACCTGCACTTTAAATATTGCTTCCTATCACCAATCATTTTCTTAGTCCATAACACAAAGGGAAATAACTGTAGTTTTAAATACATCGTTTGTAGGAAGAAACATGTACTTACCAAGTGAACATAAGGCACAAAGTATCCAAAAAGTGCAGCTGGGATCCCAAAAGCCCAGATTCGGTAACTGAGAACTTTGAAAACTGAGAAATTGCAAATCTTTTTTTCAGGAGGAAATCTGAACTTTCCCTTCTTTTCTTCCTCCTTGTCTTTGGCGTTGGAAACAAGGGGTTTGTACGTAAAGCCAGCCAGGAAGAGAATAAACATAAGGATGCACAAGACCCGCAAGGTGTTGTATAGGCGAACAGAATCGATCAAAGCTCTCAAGAGGAAGGGCAGTGACACGGTGAACAAGCTGCTGCCTGCAGTGACAATGCCATTCACTAGTCCAAGGCGTTTCTTGAAATAGTGCCCGAGAATGACCAAGGATGGCTGGTACGCAAATGAGCAGCCACAGGCAAATAAGACTCCATAGGTGAAATATAGAGGTTCAATGGTGCTATACCAAAAGACAAAAGAAAAAATCATTAGTGTTTTGTACAACGCTGTATGCTCACATTCACCTACCATACGCAAGATAGTTTTTCAATGAATTGACATATTTACAGAAGTGAGTTAAAAGTTTCTATGTACTTATAGTTGAAATACACTGTGCCAGCTTAATTCAGCAGTTATTCTATTTTCTTCCATGGAAAATTTCATAGAATTCACTGAACAGATAAAAAAGCAAAATTATATTTAAGTATAATTACACCAAATAGTCTGACTAAAAGAGAGTTTTAAAAATCATTGTCAGGGTGAATTAGCCAAATATAAGTTCAACCATTGCTGGGTTTTTGTTTTTTTCTTTTCCAAACAAAATTATATTGGTTTGATTTACACATTTCTTCACCATGCTAGCAATTCAAACATAACACTGAACACTCGTCATTAACCCAAAAAAATCAAGTATTTACATGGTTTATTATGAAAATACAATAGCAAAAGTAGTAAACATCATTAATAATGAAAAATAAAACATAAAAATACTGTCGTTTTAGTAATATAATACATTATTAGCAAATGATGGACTTTTTAGGTTTTTTTTTTCTAAACAAATAATCCCCTTTTTATTAAATATTCTAAGCTCAGTATTTTGATCCAGATATTGGATATGCTAAAAAAGAAATAGGAAAAACACGTTAATAAAGAATGAAATATTTCAGCTCATATTAAGGAGGATCTTCATCACATGGTTCTCCACTATTACTATCTACTATACAACTGAAATGAAGTAGATCCATTGTATTAGATCACAGGCAGACATGTGACATTAAAAGGTACTTGTGCAAGAAATCTTAACAGTACAAAGTAACAGGGTTAGTATAATTAAATTAGTATTATAGTATTAATAAGTCAAAGGAAACATTTTTTACATTTAGATGAAGGAGGCAATGTGTGAGACATGTTTTTGGACAAGATTTCTGAGGTGGTACATGATGATTTATCTAATTATTTTTAATACTATGTTTTCAATGAACCATGGGCTCTTTTCTATCAGCTAACACCTTCTTTTAAAGCAGTTATAGAAAACCATTTAACCTGTTAGCCAATATAATAACTTTTTTTTTAAAGGAGTATGAATGCTTTATGTAGTGCTTTTCATCGTAGGATGTTACCTACCAGCATCCCTCTATATCAAAATACATTCCACAAGCTTCCCACACAATTACAGAAATTCTTAGAAAATAGTATTTGATGAACAAAGGTCTGACACCAGGAACTCTGGTTTTGTGTATTAACGTGAAAAAGAGTATTTGTGTAACATAATATTGTTGCTTTCTACATTAAACCATCAATTTCTAAAACACTGTACACAAGGTAAGCCAGCAGAAACAACACAAGGGGGAAAGACTAACTACCTTTATCAATGGAAAATAACCAGGAAAAATAAAAACAGAAGTTATAAAATGAGAGGAGGAACATAATACAATAAGGACAGAGAACTTCTGCTTCCATCTGTAGATTCATTCGAAGAGTTTGCAGCATAACATACATAGTAAAATATTTTCCTGCATTACAAATACTCTTACATCTCAGCTTCCTAAGAGATAAATTTACATTAAGAAATCAGTATGTAGCAAAAGCAGTAAATCATATTTACATTTATCTACTGTACAATATTTTACTTTTAGAACATTGACTTGTATATCTGAACTATACTCCCTCAATTAACTGATAACATCATAGGCATAAATCATTTTAGTGTAAGTAACATAATGAAACACCAAGAATGCACATTACCATGGCATGTACTCCAACAAGAATTCACCTCTCCTCTCAAGTGCTCTTCAAATTCTAAAACAAAATTCAAATAAGCTAAAATATTCTTAAAACCTTTACAAAATAACTTCCTTTTGCATGCCTCTTCTGTGCCCTTGTTCCATTGGGTATCAGGGAACACAAGCATGATAGCATTTTGTTCAAAGGAAGAAAACGTCTTTCCTTTATCAAGAGGTTTAATTTATAATAATGGAGACTGTTAGTATTCATCACTTAACACACTACCAGGAAGCGAGGAGGAAGAAAGACTTTTCCAAGATGCATTCTTTTAGTTTTTACCTCACCTGCGGTAACAAGCCTCTTAAAACATATCAGGAAGTGGGTTTTTTGGTTTTTTGCTTTAATACAATGAATTAAGCAAAATATTTGTACTTGGATTAACCAAAAAAAATAAAAATCATAAACTTGCTCATTTAACAAGAAAACAAAGCTTTCTTTTTCCCATAAATATAAGTTATTCCAAGAATAAATATAAACACTAGTCTCAATACCTAAGACAGAACTATTTGTCTTATCCTCCTGTAAATTTGTAGATATGTTTTCACATTAGCGGACATATGCCCAAACTAGACATATTAGCTCAGGCATAGTGCCACACAGAGTAGATATTCATCCATCCAGATTACAGCCAGTTTACATCTATCTGGTTCAGCGTACAGGCATAGAAAATATATTTGCACAAGCCTGTCTGTATAGATACATTTTCATCTATGTAGGAAACTCTTCTGAATTTTGCTTTTGATTGTTCCTGTACTTATTCTGCTAATGACTGAGAAAAAAGCAGACTGAGAACTAGAGTTAACTGTGGCTTATTTTCCTGCTACTTCTTACCCTATCTTCACTAACCAATTTCTGTTGATGACTAGAATAAGTGAGTAAATTTCCTGTTTCCTAATCTTCTACTGGGCATGTCCAACAAATCAGCCGCTCTTGAACTTCTTAGGATTTATTCTGCAAAAGTTACAGAAATGTACAAAATGAAGTGTAATCTGGAGGAAAAAAACCACCACTCAACTACTGTTCAAGTTTTTTCAATAACACAAGAAAGAACTGAGATTTTTCTTAATAAAGCCAATAAGCCCTAAGTATATGTCATTATACCAAGGTTTTCACTATCTCTGTGTTTGGCAATTGGACCAGAAAGAAAACATCAGATTTTACTAGAACATTAACATCTTCCTGGAGGTCCTACTGCATATTTATCAACATTAAAACAGTGTTTTAAAAGCTAATTGAGGGGACAGGGCACGGGGGAAGACAGAAACAATGTTTATGTACCTGCTAAAACACAGCATACATCAATGTCCTGGTTCCGGCTGGGACAGAGTTAACTTTCTTCCCAGTAGCTTGGGGGGTGTTTTGGTGTGAAAGGAGCATTGATGGCCCATTGATGCTTTAGCTGTTGCTTGGTGGTGCTTGCACCAGGGGGGAGCACAGCCAGGGTGGTGGACCCAGCTGGCCAATGGGGTATTCTATACCATGTGACATCATGCTCAGTATAAAAACCAGGTGGGGGGGCTCGCCCCCCGTTCGTGACACACGGTCGATGGTTGGTGAGCAGTGTCATTGTGCATCGCCTGCTTTGTATATTCTGTTATTGTTGTTGTTCTCATTGTTATTATTACTGTTCTACTTTGTTTTATTTCAATTATTAAACTGTTTTTATCTCAACCCGGGAGATTTCCTACTTGTGCCCTCCCAATTCTCTCCCCGATCCCACCAGAGGGCGGGGGTGAGCAAGCGGCTGCGTGGGGTTTATTTGCTGGCTGGGGTTAAACCACGACAATCAAGCAAACATACAAGTTTATCCAGGACAATGCTGTTGATCTTACAGCATCAGTCTTACTATTGATACATCTATACATAGTGGTTCCTGCTAAATAGGAAGTGCTGTTAGGAGGCTATATTATATTTTTAAAATTACTTTTGAAGTTGAAAGTACCACTTGGAGTTTTCACAAGTTATAGTTAGAAAGACAAAAACAAAAACAAATAAAACAAGGTTTCTACTCTAACAGATAATATAAAGTAGCACTGCTTACTCCTTCATATTCTGTTGATAGGATCAGCATTACCTCTACACTGTAAGATTGATAAAATACTTTGAATGTAAAGAACTTTTTACCTTACAAAAGAACTTGAAAGGAGTCCAGCAAACCCTACTGCAGCTCCAATAACAGCTACTTTTCGACAACCAAACAGGTCTGTGAATATGCTGACTATTGGAGAACAGAAGAAGACCATCCCCATGGAAAGAGAGCTCACCCATGCTGCAAAATAGAAAAAGACAGCATTTTAGAAGACCAGGTGATTTAAGCTTTCAGCTAGTATTGGTTTTAGTTCAGCAACATAAAATCTTAGATAAAAGTTGGGTAACAATTGGGTAACTATTTTTAAAATATTTAAATACATTTTTAAATATATTTACTTAACATGGTAAAAAAAAGCCTGACCAATTTACATAATCAACTAATTTAGACTTTATCAGCTCAAGGAATGCAATTAGCTACAGAAGTTATTATTATTTTTACTTTTTTTTTTTTAAAAAAACACAATTATTCCTCCAGCAACTAACCTAGTATTCAAACTGATGAGTAGGCCATTAAAGGTACCTTTGAGGCTCCATATCCATTCTGACATCAGTTAGCACATTTCACTTGATTTAATTCTAGACTTTAATGACTTTAAACAGCTAGGTTTGCTGAAAAAAATTAACAAATCTTTAACTTAATTACATAAATCTAGATCATACTGAATATTAATAATACGTAAATGAACAATAGGCTTTTAAACTGTAACATACACATTAGGAATATGATTTTACTTTAAACTACTAAAAGAACTTGAGCTAGTACAACCATTTCATATATAATAGGAAAATGTCACTACATCTGACACTGCTCCAGCTTTAGAGACATTATTAAAACTGTACTTTGTTTACAAATGAGTCTTTAGACCATCAAGATTCAGTTCAGGAGAGTACACTAGAGTTTCAGCCACAAATGTGGTTTTTATTCCAAGTGTACCAAAAATATCTTCAAATAACTTAGGTAAAAGATAATTTGATTCATTTTAAATTAAAAGTCAACCTTCTGCTTCACTTCATACAGGTGTTCAGAACCACATCATTTATCTGCTATCATCTAATCGTTCTTTCAAACATGTGTTACTGATGTTACACCCAAGAGTCCTCCCAGGGCATAAAGGTAAATGAAGCTGTTGTAGCACAACAGTTACAACAAATATATTCAGGTGGGTAAATGTCCCCATCTATTTGGGAAGAAAAAAAAAAGGTCTAAACAGATAGTGGAAAAAGCTGCTGATGCAAGATGCATTGGAAAAAATATTTTAACTTCTTTGAAAGAACTCTTTCAACCTGGAATGGATTTAAATCTGTGTAACTGGAATTTTGTTTAGAATATCTTTCCTAAAGACACAGTTAGATAAACATTTGTGATTCAGTGATAAGGGCAAATAAAATTATCTGGAAAAAAATATAACCAAGAGACCTAATGAAGAATATTTGCAAGTATATATATATCAATACCAAGACTTAGAAGTAGTGTTGTCTTAGAAGTAGTGTTTTTAAAGTGCCAACGAGCCCTACACATTGATGAAGACCCCATTGTGCAAGACACTAAAGAAAACAGAGCAAAACAAACAAGCAAACAAAAAACTGTTTCTTCAAGGAGTTTACAATGTAAGTGAAGGACAAAAGAGAACAGATGGCTAGAGAAAAACAAATGAGAGTACAAGAAATAAAACCTTTATTTTAGGGCAAACAATGATCTCAATGAACCATGACCTAACTGTTTGGGGCAGCGGTAGTATTATTAGGGTTTTTTGAGCATGTCATAAATATAATGGAGTTCCAAGGCGCAATCTGAAGAAGAGTGAGGTACTTTTCCTGGGTATGACTAACCCAGACAAGATAGCCCTGCCAGCCTTGCACCTCTGCAGCAGAAACATGAGCTGTATGAAGGGAAAGCACAAAAGACTAGGAAGAACAAGGGCCCTATGACACTGACTAAAGGCAAAGGCCAAATTTATGAAAGGTCTGTCCTTTCTCTTCCTCTGCAGTCAAGGAAGGCTCAAATGCACCTCGGGTGTGGCAAAAGATGACTTGGAGCCATCTGGGCTGTAAAATGGGACAGTGGCCTTGTCTAGTGCCTCGGTTGCCTTTGTGTCTTCTCATACCTAGGCAGGAAGGCTGGCAGGAGGTTTAACTATTCCTTGGTACCTTCATACCACCGTGAATCTGATGACAGTGAGTCTTGTAATGCCCACTTCTCAAGATTTAGCTGCCCTTTCTCTTGGCCTTGCAGATACCCCAGGTGTCACAGGTACTCTGTGATTCTTAGTGTTGCCCTGAAAGTCATGCAGAGATGCTGAGGACTGTTCATAGTGGAGCTACTGTTTATTTGGAGGGATGACAAGAAGCCGTGGACATTCTACCTCTTAGTGTTTGCAGTTTCCTTTGGACAGTAGAACTGCAGGCTCTACGTAGCTCACTCTGGGAAAGATAAGTAAAAAGATGAGGAGTCTTGTAGAAGTTGGACGACTTCTAAGACCACCAGACTTGGCTGGTCTCCAAGCTGTATGAGAGCATTTACTCCCTCTGACTCCTGCTTACAAACTGTAGTTGGTATAATGCTGCAGTATCTTGATCCTATGAAGAAACTGACAGCTATAAAATATATTCAATAGATCCAAGTAATTTTCAATTTCACTTTGCTCAAGTAAGTTTTCAAGCATTCTTAACAATTTTTCACTCAGTATGAAAAAGGTACAATGAATTGTCTTCCACATTTTTTAAATAGAAATTACAACTGTCCCAAATAAGTAATACGAAAAATTACAAATGCAGTTTGCCAGAATAATGAGAGCTCTCTAGAGCAGTTATTACATATTAATTAAAACATTTCTCCTCCAGGCTATTGGCCACTTTCCTGGCCACAAGCTGGCTATATTCCAGAGCTGCTAATTCAGATACTAATACAGCACCTAATTGCTACATATAACTGCATTCATGTTCATACACAAAACATTTTGATTGCCATAGAAGAAAAGCTATTCCTACTTTAAGGACTTAAACCTTCCTTAAGGCGCTGGAAGTTAAGAATTAGCTCCTCAAAACATGTAATTGCAGAATAACCAATTCCCAAGCTTCCCTAGAAGATGGAACAGAAGTTACCCTCAAGATAAAAATATCAAACCAGAGAGCCTATTTGTAGCATCTATACTGAAAAGTCTGTTTCTGTGCCATTGAAACACATAATAGATTACAAAAAAAACTAAACTTTATTATAACTAAAATTATTCCAAAATGAAAAGTCACAGCTACATGTTCTTTTCTTACCAGTTCACTACAAATGTATGTACTTCAGCTATAATCTGAGTATATGTTCTCATATTTATTTATCTCTGTTCAAAAGTCTATAGCAATAAAACTATACCACATACTCCGTAAATATGCTGCTGTTTTACCATGAGTTTTTAAAAATCAACCTTATTTTAAAGTCTTTTGTCTTCAGCTATATAGTATCTAATATCTAAGCATTCACAAAATCATTCCCATAGTCACAGCTAGATTATGTAATAGATTTATCTACCAAACTATGAACCAAGCTGTTAAATGTTTTAGTTAATTCTTTAGACTCAAGCACTAGGATTTAAGAGACAACAGAAAAGAAAGCATTAATACCATATCACATTGGAATGCTTTATCGTGCATAAATTTAAATAAAGGCTACTCATCCATAGCATTCCTCTTTACAATCAAATTTTTTCTGTGCATTACAATAAGAATCTTATCAGTTTTATCCTCACAGGTATCTTTCAAGTGGTTGGCTTAACACAGTAATAACACCCTTCATTCTTTAATGAACATCAAGAATTTTTTAATATCTTCCCCCCGAGATTTTTCTGGTCGAGACAGGGAACAAAAAAGCTACTGTCTGGAAGAAAAGTGATATGAGGCAAGTGAAGAGAAGAATATTTAAACTGAGGATTCAAAATCAACTCAGAAATGTTTTGTTTCCCCACATTAAAAAAAATCAGATATGTGTGTTTGTGTAGCTCATGCAGCAAACCAAGATAGCAGTATAATTACAGTTCACTGGATAGCTTGCAGAATAATCTGTTTGGCACTACACATAAGACAGAAGCACAGACTGTGGAAAGTGAGAGCAAACTTTCTACATTCAATATAACAGATTCTCATGTGCAAAGACCTACAGCTACTCTACTCTGTTTTTAAGCACTTGCAAAATAGACTGGCCAACCATCCCCTAAACCGGTTCCTCTGCTCACTGTCAGACACCCTTCCTAAAAATCAGTTCTCCCACCATCTCGTTAACCAGTAGAGTAGTTCAGGCCATACTACACTGCTAATACTTTTAAGTACAAACTATAATGATGCTGGATAATGAGAAATTCTTGTGTTAACTCATAATGAACAGAAAGTACAGAATCAGAGATAAGCTGTTTCAGAGTCAATCTCTTGATTTATAAGATGGAAATAATACTTCTCTCATACTGAAAGTGTGTGAAATTCTTGTTGTTTTGTAGAAAGTACTCCTCAAAGCAGATTTCTAAGAAATAAATTTATTTTAAATCATTGTGTAAAATAAACAATATAGGACAAGTTATATGAATGGCAGATGTTTAAAAATGTTTCGTTGTCTCACACTGAAAAGGTTTGTGCAGAAGTAGCCTATTACAATAAAATCATAATGCAGAGTTAATATAACTGCTTAAATAATGGCACTTAACTTCTGAAAGCTCAGCTTGAATAATATTTAGGAGGGTTTTCCTTGTATTTTGTAAAAATACTTGGAGAAAAGGGAAGGACAATATTTACAATATGAAAATCTTCATGCTTCCATTAAGTTATTAGTTATGATTTACGCAAGAATAAGGAAGCCTCTATGTACTCTCCCAGCCTCAAACCATTAACAGCTGAGGGACTTCCTAAGCCAAGGTTTTTTCCCTACTAAACAAATCACTTTTTTTCAGTGTATTTATCAATATTCTAGCAATTTCTCCTCCATGAACTGCCATCCTCTCCTGGAACACATACATTTTCAGCATCTGCAACATCTTACAGCAAACTACTCCATAACTCAACTATGGGCTGTGAAGGACCTCCACTTCTATTATGGTCATTTACATACAGGGATATTCTCATCAGCAAAGCAGAAGATTGGCTTCCATAAGGAGATTTGTTATGACTGTAGCTCGGGAATTTGAGAGATCCTGTTTTGGAGGA